TAACCTACATGCGACTACACAGAGGGCGTAAACCAGGGCTACGATGGGCTGGACCTTTGACCCATGAATACATAAAATATGCCTGCCGTACTCTTGGACTGTGTGTGTGTGTGTGTGCGCGCTTGCTTGCTTGCTAACTTGCTTTAGTCTATGCGTCCACCAAAACAAGATCATTTCCAGGCCAGGCTAATGTACGAAGTTTTTGCATGGTGTAGAAGCGACTCAAAAAGATCCGTGTCCACCGACTCAGACCAGCTGAACCTATTTTTAGCCCAGTGTGTTATTATTACGAGAACAACAGACAGCACCGGCAATTTATTTACCACTTTAAAAAACTAAAAAGCAACAAATTATAATTATGGGGAAAATTGTTGATAAGTTGGGAGGATGAGAAGAAGGGGGAAAAAAAGGGCTCACAAAAAAATATGTTGCGTTTCAAACGCAGACACACTGTTCACTCGGCCATCAGAACTTTCATCAGGGAAGGGTAGATTAAGCTTCATATTTACAGCACTGTTTCAGGAAAGGCAAAGCGACATAATAAATCGAGATGTAGATCTAGAATCTAGGCCTAGATCTAGTGGACCGGCAGATAAGGTCTGAAGAAAACAAAAAATTGGCGGAAAATTGGCGGAAATTTGGCGGAAAATGGAAGCACTAAACATTAGATAGCGTAGTTCTAGACACGTCCATAGCTAGATTCTTGGTCTAACATGGCCTATTTCTAGCCCTCCTGAGAACGAAATAATCTTGATCTAGATCTAGGTCAAGTGCTTTGATTTCATTTTTCTGCTGTTTTTCATCACAAATCTGCTATTGTACAACATATTATAATGAGATACAACTTTATTGATCATGTAAAGTGCAATGAAGAAGAAAAATGTACTTAAAGATGCAAATTTCCTTCCAAAATGAGTCGAATCGAGGCCAGAGTACCTACTTAAATATTACTTAATGTATTCATGGGTCAAAATGGACACGTGACTCAGCCTTGTTGTGATTGGCTGCAAACCACCCGATCGCGCAATTCGCAGGCCAGAAAACAAACACGTTTGTTATTGTAGGTCACCGATCGTGTCGATCGGTTTGTACCACGATGGCCGCTTTGCGCCCTCAATTTGGCTAGTCCAGACTAACCGATGGGCCCGACCCGACCCGACCCGACCCGACCCGATCGCGTATGTGGGCACCCCCTATAACGTTTATTTACAAGCACCTTTTATCCGCCTGTGCGCATTAATATTAAAACAAAATTCGTTTAACTGAAGTACTTTTGCACGCAGGTGTCGTGTGACTAGGCCTAAGTCACTACACTATTAATTTTCTCGTAATTTGCACTCTAAACTCTTATTCCACACAAGGCGTCCATGATAATGATCTCTTCTCAATTATCTAACAACATAATTATACCTGCCGACCCAAACGTTCGCCCCAACATTCCCTTCGCCATCTCTTCCCCCCCCCCTCTCCCTCTCTCTCTTTCTCGCTCTCTCTCTCTCTCACACACACACACACACACACACACA